TTGATCCCTTGAAACGCCTGCCTCGGCCCAGTCCGGATCTGGAAATGAGACCACAAAATAACATAGTATACTATACGATCATTGACAAATATAGTATACTATAATACAACAGTTAATTTTAATATATATATATATATAGACACACACACACACTCTCTCTCTCTCTCTAAATTATACTACAGTACACTATGAAATGCTGCAAAATCGTATAAAATCCTGCCATAACATACGGTGATGGTCCTCTGCCTGGCAAATGGACCTTCGCTTCTGCACCCGTAGGGCTTAGATAAACCCTAAGCCCTGGCCCTTTCAGGGCCTCTGAGTTTAGAGTGTACCCGGCGTTGACTCAGAATCCCAAAGGCTCCAAATAGACTACCATGTGGGACTTTCAGAAAATTAGGGTACCTTATATTGGGGTCCTTATAACAAGGATCCTACTATTAAGGGTACTATATTAGGGTCCCCTATTTTCGGAAAGCCCCATGTTGGAATTAAGTCCAAAGGCCCAAAGTCCATCATAGTAGTAGATATGCAGCCTCTAGGAATGTAGGCAGTTCAGATGCCACTGAATGCATCAAGTTTGGCGGCAACCTAAGATAGCCAGATTGCTTGGATAAGCCTCCGAACCCCTGCACCGCTCCAATTACCTACTGTTTTGAGTGCCATACCCAAAAATTAAGGGTCATAACCTACTATTCTGTAGGATTGGTAGGGTTTGGGGCTACAGGTAGACTGCCCTAAGCCCTGAACCCTAAACAAAACCCTAAACCCTAAGCCTAAAGCCCTAAACAAATCCCTGAACCCCTGGACCCTAAACCCTCCAGACCCCACCTCACGAATGTCCGCACGAGGAGACAGGCCCATGGAGAGCAGCAAAGAGGGCAACTTGCCCTGAACCACCTTTCGGTCTAGGATTTAGGGTTTAGGGTTTCGGGTTTAGGGCAGGGTTTAAGAATTTTGGGGTTTAGGGTGTAGGGCCTAGGGTTTAGTAGGAAGTGCAGGGTTTGGAAAGAGTGCGGAGTGGGGCTTAAGGCTTTTGTGCCTTAAACGTCCGGGTTTAAGGTTCTAGGGTTGGTGTGGTGCGGTTTAAGAGCCGGCGAGGGTTTAGGGTTTAGGGTTTGGGGGGTTTGGGTTTGGGGTTTGGGGTTTGGGGTTTGGGGTTTTGGGCTTGGGGTTTGGGGTTAGGGTTTTGGGTTTTGGGTTTGGGGTTCCGGGGTTTGGGAGGGCATGCGACACCGCAAAGGAACTGGCCGTCTTCCGCGGTTTATACACGACCCTAGATGAAAGTAAGATAATTTTTGCTTTAAAATTTGATACGAGGGTCGGTGGAACACATCGCAGCTTGCTTCACTCAGTGCCGGGGTTTAGGGCCAAGGCCTACCCTAGGCCCGGCCCTAGACCTTAGATCCCAGCCACCAACAAGCCGACACATCCTTTACAACAGGCAAGCAATCACCCCTAAAAGCGCAACCCGTCACCCTGAAACCCTAAACCTCAAGACTCACAACGCCTCCCCCAAAACAAAGAACTCCCCAAACCCCAAAGTCCAAAAACCTTCAATCCTAAACCCCTGACCCCAACATCACAACACCCCACAGCTCGAACCCTAAACCGCTAAACCCCGGAACCCCTAAAGCCCCTAAACCCATAAACTCGTAACTCTAAACTCCTAAATCCCCTTAAACCATGACTCATGAATCCTCACCTCCCGGTGACGGCATCGGACCACCACCAAACTCGTCAAGCGCACCAGGCGAACGGTCTGAAGAGCGCGTTTAAGGGCTGTCTTAAGCTCCTTCAGAGCGTTTGAGGGTTTACCAGGCGAACGGTCTGTAGCGCTCGCTTTTCAGAGTATTTTCAAGGCTGTTCTACAGGGCATTGTGGGTAGAGAGGGCTTGGGGGTCCAGAGCCTAGGCTTCGAGGGGATAGGGGTTTCATTGTTTGGGGTTTAGGGCTTGGGGTTTCAGGGTTAAGGGTTTAGGGTTATTCAATAGGGTTATTTAGGGTTATTTAGGGTTTGGGGTTTCAGGGTTCTGAATTTCGGCGCTTGGGGGTTTGAGGGCCTGGAGACAAGCTTTTTCAGCAGCACCCTTTTTGCCAACTAACCCGGAACATCCACTCAACCTTCAAGCATCTAAGTCAAAGCTCAGAAGATACACCCTAAACCCCTCAACCCCGAAAGCCCGAAACCCTAAGCCCCAAACCCTTAAAACCTAAAACCCCTAAACCCCTTAAACTCCTAAGCCCTGCACCGCAAAGATCGAACCCCAGAGCTTTGGCTTGGACCCGCAGCCCACCCCAGGAAACTAAAACCTAAACCTAAACCTCAAACCCAAAACTCAAAACGCTAAACCCTAAATCCCTAAACCCTAAACCCTAAAACCCCTAAACCCTAAACCCTAAATGCCCAGTGCCCGAGCAGGGCTCCTCCGCATCACTGACAGCACTGTCTGAAGCAAGCGCCTGGCTAAGTCTCCGGGCTTTACGATTGGGCTTCTAGGGTTCGGGATCTAGGGTCTAGGGTCTAGGGCCTAGGGTCTAGGGTTTAGGGTCTGGGGTCTAG